GGGGGGGGGGGGAGTGGAAGTACCTTTACGTTCGCCCTCGGACGACAGTGAGTTTTCCACTAAACTCTTTTCTAACCCTGACCTGTTCCAGTTAAATTTTGCAAAAACGACGATGTATTGGTTGTTTTGACCAGGTGACGCAGAAATCACTTCGCAGTGCTATTGGTGTTGTTCCTCAAGACACAGTACTGTTCAACAATGATATAAGGTATAAAAATGAGATGAGTACAAAATTGGGTTATTAAAGGTCCCTTTTAAATATAGATAGGGTGATCCAGGTCTTGGGACAAGCCTTGTTTTATTTCCCCAGTGGACACCAAACATTAAGGAGTTGACCGTATCTCTAAGCCATCCAATCTTTATAGGGATATATCATTATGAATTACGGCCATGACCCCCCATACTATGACCCCCCATCCCATGACCCCCTAATATGAATCTGTATTTCATCATTATTATATCATCCATCGTGAAAACTTTCCCACATTTGGACTATAAAAGCATCATCAACCATATGGTTTTTTGAAGGTACAACATTCGGTATGGTCGTTTGGACAGTTCCGATGAAGAAGTCGAGGAGGCGGCTATGGCTGCTGATATTCATGGTAGAATAATGACATTCCCTAAAGGTAAGCCCCACCAACCGACTCGGAATCAGTAAGAATCCACCATAGTAAATCACCCTTTGTTAGGTTGGGCTTTTGTTTAATTGGAATGCCACATAAATGACTACTTCGACGATACGGCGGCCGTCTTGTCCAGGGGGCAAATATAACTGAAAGCTTTGTTACAATAATGGCGTCGATTGACATTAACCAGACACCAAGGCAGAAATTTCTCAAATATCGTGTGGTCGTCATAGGCGACCCATACTACCTTGCGAATCAAGATGGCCGCCGTATCGTCAGAGTAGTCCATTCAATCAGGTTTTAGATTATTTGCGTCACGAAGCATACAAAATGGCCTAAAATTTAAAGTTACATTATATGCACTGCTCATGCAAGCCGTTTCCCAAATCTTTGTGGTTTAAGTACTGAGGTAATGTATTTGTACCATGCACAGGCTACGAGACCTTGGTGGGAGAAAGAGGCCTTAAACTAAGTGGTGGAGAGAAACAGCGTGTTGCTATCGCCAGAACTGTCCTCAAGAATCCGCCGATAGTACTCTTAGATGAGGTAAAACAAATACGTATGTCTCATAGTTGAATGAATGAAATACCGAATGAATAAAAAAGTGAATGGATGTGAAGAAAATGGGAGAGGTATTAAGTTAAAAGCATATGTGTGTGTCTTGTAAGTTTTAATTCCGATATCCTGCGTTATTTGTGTATAGTTTGACATTTAGTTGTTGATGACGGTGAATAGACACCATCACGTGCCCATGCCCATAATACCGCTTGGACTGCCTGTGGCTAGATGGCAGAACAATAAGATGCCTTTGCTCTCGGGAATTGAATTCTTCCTCATGTAAAACGATCGTATAGTTCCTGCCATCTAACATGGCTCCCGTCACGTGGTGGTGCAAAACCTCTATGATGATACTGAATAAAGCCATGCATATTAATATAGCACATTGACTTTGTCATGATAACAATAATAATATTCATATTTATAAAGCACAGATTAGCATAAAATGTTCATCTGCGCTGTTTACAAAAAAAATGTATTATTTTGATGTAATACAGTGTTGTGTGTTACATGTGGATGTTGACTGATGACAATAATTAAGATTAATAATAATGTCCATGATATTGATCACTATCTATGATGCTGATTGAACATGATGACGATATTGGTCATGCATGTTGATGATGATGATGTCCATGATGATAATGATTACTATCTATGATCTCGATTGACCTGATGACGATATTGGTCATGCATGTTGATGATGATGATGTCCATGATGATAATGATTACTATCTATGATCTCGATTGACCTGATGACGATATTGGTCATGCATATTGATGATGACGATGTCTGGGAAATCAAGGGTGGCTTACCTATAAGCCTGAAGCGAGATGACGTTTTACCCCCGACTTTATACCATGATAGTTTTGAAAATTCTTTCATATTAAAATTTTTGATTCCTTAGAGAATACAGGAACAATAGCCATAATTAAAGAACAAAAGCAGTGTGAAAAGGATTATGGTCTAGAGACGGGGGTAAAACGTGATCTCGCTTCAGGCTTATTACCTCTAGCGTCTCGGCGTTCATGCAATTTTTGTATTCCATTCCGTCATCATCATCATCATCATCATGATATGATAGTGATGATTATAATGGATATAATGCCAATTTTTCCCCCTCTTTATCAGGCAACATCAGCTCTCGATAGCAAGACAGAAAGGAACATCCAAGAGTCTCTCAACAACATGTGCATCAATCGTACCACCATCGTAGTGGCACACAGGTCTGAACTTTACTTTATTCTTGCACCTTTTTTCGTTAGTATTAGTACCATTTTAATTGCGAGCCAACCTAGTATGGTCCTGGTGTCAGCGTTTTTGAAAGAATTTCTGTAGAAATGTTCTAGTGTCAAATTCTCTGTGCGAGCAGCACTTCCTTTTCACACGACTATATCTAGTTTTCACAGTTACTGATGAGGAACTCGAGTAATTAGGCGAGCAGCTCTTCACGGAAATATCTAGTTTTTCACAGTCTCTGATGAGGAACTCGAGTTTCATTAGTGCAAGCAGCTCTTCACGGAAATATCTAGTTTGCACAGTTACTGATGAGCAACTCGAGTATCATTATACTCGAGTAAGATTCTTGAGTACCTTTCCTCTTCAGGTTCATCGAGACCTGGGATGGTCTCCATCCCCCAATTGCCTAAAAACTGCCTGTCCTCTTGACCTTTCAACAGCGTCCAGTTTTATCAGACATTTAAAGAGAGAAAGAATGCACACATGACAACCCCTCGTATTTTCTTGATTATCTGAGTGAATAATCGGGCTTATACTCTTGAAATCTAAAGAAGCAAAGAAAGAATGTGCAACGATGTGTGTGACCCCATCGAGAGATGAAGAAATTTTGATTTTTTTTCTTCTTTTCTATGATTAATGTTCCACTTGATAATATAATTACCTAATTCCACTACAGAAATCTCGCTAAACTAAAAGACGAAAGAAGAATTCACGCGCGAGGACACTGTGTGTGGTTTCTTCGAGAAAAATGAAGATTTTAAGATCGTTTTAGTTAATCTGATAATGTGATAGTTCTGAGTGATTGTTTCCGTTTAGGACGCGGATGTCTCATCAGACTGGGCGGGCTGTAAGCATCTTTTTGTGAATCCCAACATCTCATTGTTTACTATCAATCACGTGACTTTTTGGAGTTGACTGGGGGCAAACAAGCGGTTAGTCTCCCTCGCATCCGTTTTTAGTGTCGGTCGTCACGCAGCGTTGCGTGACCGACACTAAAAACGGATGCGAGGGAGACTAGCAAGCGGTTGACTGATTGGCAACTAGCGGATGTTAAGTCAAAACATATCAAAATAAGTCCTCAAACTATTTTATTTGACTATTTCTACGACATGAAACCAGAAAACAAGAGATCAAAACAACCTCCAAGATTCTACAAGCCATTAAAAAGAGCTATTACCGGAAGTGACGTCTATTGATAGCAACCTATTGCGCAAGATTCTTTATTCAGTTAAAAAGCGCATGTCTGATCAGATTGGTTGTTAACACTAGTGCAGTTTGGAGGCCTAAGACGTACTGAATTTTTGAAGGCTATTTTACTATCCTATCGTGAAAAATGCTTGGTTTTCTTGATTCCTTTCTCGGATTTTTAAAACAGAAATAATATAAGAATGCCATAACTTTCTGCGAATTTTTCTTCCCTCACGATGCAAAATCTTAATTTTCATGAGTTTTCTAATAAACTCAAATCAAAGAAACATTGCATAATGCACGCCTGGGAACTCTGTGTGTGGTGCCTTCGAGAGATGCAGAGATTTAAAAAGTTTGTTTAATCTGATAACGTATCATTTTTTTTCCTCTTTATCCCTTCAGGCTCTCAACTATTGTCAACGCAGATCAGATTCTGGTCTTAAACGAAGGAGAGATTGTCGAAAGAGGAAGGTCAGTCAGTAGTGCAGAAATAGCAAATAAATCAAGTCATTATCGACTCAGTCTTTGTCGGTAGGGGCTTACTACATATCAATCTTATTTTCCATTTAGCAACTTATCAATTAAATAAGCAGTAAAGGAAGCAAAGAATCTAGGGCTTGGTAAACCACAGTTTCTCCAACTAAAAACGCATTATTTCTGGGGAGACCGGGCAACTATCAACAAGGCTGGATAAAATGAACATTTATATATTATATGTAGTTGTATAAAACCATTGAGCTCGACAAAATGCAGCCTGGGAAACTAAGATATTCATGGCATCGTTTCCACGATTATCCAATTTCGACCCTGTCCTTCCAAGATATAAAACTCGGCAAAGCAGAAGCAGTATTGCCATATTAAAATCCCCACCCTTCCCCTCCCCCCNAGTCAAGATGTTTTTTTTAGATGAAACAGAATATGTAGTTCCAGATATTATCCTTAAACCACCCCTCTCCCCTCCAGAGGATTTTCCCCCTACTTAGCGATGTTTTTTTCTGACCCCCCCCCCCCAAGACCAGCCAATTCGCAACCCACCTTTCGGTCAAGTCTTATCAGGCTTATCTGACATTTTCAAATATTTGCTTTACCTTCTGCAAAATTCTGAAGTTTGAAGTCTTTGATCTCTCATCTTGATGACCAATAATATTTAAAATACTTCGCAATATTATTATCGATATGACAAATATTTGACTTAAACCTCCTTTCCTGATAAAACGAATATTTTAAAACGTCAAGCTAGCATATGATAAGGGCCTAGAGACCCCTTTTTAACTTGTCTTGGATGCAAGGCTAACAGGAACTAGAACGTTTTCACAGGAATAAACCATGTTTTTTTATTAAGGTCAAAACACTAGGAATGTCACTTTTTCTACCTTGCCATGAACATGTCTTATCTCAGCGTTCCTCAGCAATCAATTGCTGAAACATGAGGATATTCCTTATTCAAATTTTTTATCGTTTTATTGTTTTTGTAAGATGGTCTTTAAGGGTTGTGGCGTGATTCATCAAACTCCAAGAATGCTTTATCTATTTCGTATATAAAGTTTGTAATATTAATAAAGGATATAGGCTTTGCTCCACCACGTGATGGCAGCCATGACAGGAGGCAGGAAAAATCGTATCTGGTCTAATCTGATTTGTCATGAGAAGGAATTTATTTTCACAAGGGGAAAAGACTTTATTGGCGTGCCTCCTATCATGTGATGATGCAAACGAACGAACGAACGAAAACAAGGCATTTCTAGAAAATAACAGGAAATTAGTAAGATGATATAATTAACAAGCATTCTTCATTGCAGACACGAAGAACTGCTGGCTCTAGGTGGATACTACGCCAACATGTGGCAGCAGCAGTCGAGAAAAAATTTAAAAGACAAAGAAGATGCCGAGGCAGACGACGACGACGACGACGAAGGAGATGAAGATGACGATAATGCTTTAGATAGTGATGAGGAAAACAAGGATACTGGGAAAGAGAAAACATCTTAGAGCAGACTAGGTTGTTGCATGCTGATAAAGGTCCTTATATATGTAATGGTTAGACTAGCGTAAGGTAAGATTCAAGGTAAGAGCCAGTGTTACATACTTGTACTGAATTATCATGTTAGGCCACTGCGCCAAACCAAATCCTACTCTTCTTTCAAGAATGGAAAATTCTCCTGGCTTAAAGGTGTTTGAGGCCACTGCGCCAAACCTTCTCCTTCTCTGAGCTTTCTTCTTTCAAGAATGGAAAATTTTCCTAGCTTAAAGGTCTTTGAGGCCACTGCGCCGAACCTTCTCCTTCTCTGAGCTTTCGTCTTTCAACAATGGAAAATTTTCCTAGCATAAAGGTTTTTAAGGCCAATGCGCCAAACCTTCTCCTTCTCTGAGCTTTCTTCGTTTTGGCCCACATGGAGGAGACGGAATTTTGGTGCAAGGGTTCTGGAGCAATGTCTTCTTGTTTATTGTTATATGCTGGACCTAATGTTGGGACCGTTTTTCGTGATCTTTCATCAGTGTTGGGTCAGACATTGGTTAAATGGTGGGTCAAATGTTGGGTCCTTTGTCAGGGCCCTAAGAACTGAATGGCATGACATCCACAGACACACACACAACTTAAAGTTAAGTTAGAAGAGATAACAAGCTAAAACCTAGTGTGTAAAGTTAAGTTGCCAGCTTCATATGCTATATGATCAGCCAATTAATCTCTTTTGGGGTAATCTCTATTAAGCCACGCATTATTTTACTTTTCGTATTCCAAAAGACCTAAGTATAAGACCGAGTTCAATTCGAGCTGGGTTTGATTTGTGAGTTATGTGTGCCCTGACTTTCATCTTCCTAGAGTTTGTTTAAGGTGTCAATAAATTTTAGAAGGTGTGACAACCTTCACTATTTGGACTTGCCAAACAGATCCCCTCCCCTTCCCCCAGCCAGTTTTTGTCAGTTTGTTTTATTATTTTACTACAATTCATATGGATATCGTTCTTTCAAAGCTTGTTTTAAAATTTAAAAAAAATAATTCATGAGTATTTTAATTGTTAAATAAATAACAAGGAATAATAAAACCATAAAGCTAGTGTAAAACTTTAAAACTAACGTGAAGCATTGTTTGCTCATGCCTAATCGTCCTATTTATCTTATTATTATTATTATAAAATAAATAAATAAAAACTTATAAAAAATGCAATATATGTGGTACAGTAACTTAATAACAACTCAACAGAGCATAATTCTTGATTACCTTCTTAGCAAAGGGTTCCCCTTCTCTTTCCTTCCTTATAGAAGACTTCTGCAATAGGACATGGTACAGTATTCCAATAATATTCCCAACAGAGCATTGAATACTTGGTACCTTGTTTAGCAGAGAGTTTCCTTCCTTATAGAAGACTTCTGCATAGGACATGTTACAGTATTCCAATAATATTCCCAACAGAGCATAATACTTGATACCTTGTTTAGCAGAGAGTTTCCTTACTTAAAGA